TTGGAGTGGTCTTGTCCCTTCACGTTCCATCTCCTCCTCCCCCCTGTCCCTGTGGCAGTGAGCTCTTCCCTTCTTGGTTACTCTTTCATGATTCATCAAAGAATTAACCAGCCAGTTTTATTTTTATCAGGTTCTGCCACCATTCTTTATCTATTTGGAAAACCCTATCCCATATTTGTTCCACTGACTTTTATTTCCATTTCACTGGGCGCACTCCCACTCCCACTCCTATGGTTTTACTTCACCATGGTCTTCTGGCAGAGTTGTCCCAGCACTGAAATCTTAAACTCAGGTGTTACTTCTTATTTTTTTTAATAAACCTTACCTGAGACCTCTTGGAGCCCTCTAGTTGCTACTGGTGCTAGTCGTCTTCTTTTTGCTTGTTCTGTTAACCCTATTTATCTTCACTTTCTTCCCTAGATCCCTGCTGCCATCTGTGCACCCACTGTCTGTGGTGCCAGTTTGTCTTTCTGACTGTTCTGCAACCTTCTTCCCATTCCCATCTTAGACAAATATAAACACCTGACCTTTATTTCAAGTTTGTTGCATACTATTTTTTTTGTTATTGTTGTTGCATACTATTGAATTTTAAATTTTTCATGTGTTTTTGTGATTAATATTGGTTCAAATTCAGTTGTGCCTATAGGTCTAACACAACTAGACAAATTCTACACCCTCACATAAAGGATAGGAATTTTTAGTCTGTCCACATCTCAGGTATGGAAGTATCAGTTTAAACCATATTGTTCATTTATCTCAACATTTATATGTCTATTTAGAAATTGTGTTTACATAAGATCCCTTTGGGCCATTTTAGTGTTTGAGATAATTGTGGTTCTTTCCATTGGCTAGGAACGGGATTTTCCAACAGAAACTATTAAATTTGGTCCTGAACGCATGTATATTGATTGCTGGGTCAAAAAACACACCTATGACACCTTTAAGGAGATTCTTGGATCGGGGATGCAATACCACTTGCAGGTGAGTGACATCCTTTCTGTAAGTTTGCTTGTATTTTAGGAAACAGTTTTAAATGTAGTTCACTTGATTGACTTTTGAAGTTAATTGACTATCCAGAATGCTTCTACATGTGAGGAAACTAAATTTATTATTGAAAGTATAATTGAATAAATCTGAAACTATTCTTTTTTTCTTTGTATTATGTCAATCTTGTGGAATGTTATTGGTATCTTTGTATGAAAGCATATAGCTTGACATAGCTTTCTTGGATTCAAGGCATTGGAAGGCAATTTGCTTCTATACTAAGAAACAGAAAGAAAATAAGTGATCTAAGTTCATGTTTATAAGTTACACGTAACTTATGTTCATCAGAGTTACTTTATGCAGTGAAAAAGAGTTATAACATTTAATATTGAGCATTGTCTTCTGCTGAGAATCTGTAAATGAAAAAAAAAAATATTGAGCATTGTCACCTTTTTCTTTCACATAAGTCAAATGAATTCCTTCGCAATGTATTTGAACTTGGACCCCCAGTGATGCTTGATGCTGCAACACTTAAAACAATGAAGATTTCTCGTTTTGAAAGGGTAGGTTTTGTTTTTGTTTTTAATAGAGCAAAATGCACCAAAGATTAGTGGAGCCAAAGCTTGATTCTGTTTGGTGATAGAAACTTAGCTGTGTCTACCTATATATACATGGAGTTTATATTTCCATTATGTTATACACAGTAGAGCTATACTAAAGGTATAGAACCTTTACTGAGTTGAGAGTGTGGAGGGCTTTAATAAATTTTTTTTTTTACCTATAATCCTATCTTAATGTAGAAATTATTTTTATTTTTTTTCTTTTTATTCTATGAAGTTTTTATATTTAAGAATAAATATTTAATACTGTGCTGCTTTTGTACAAGGCAATAACCCACTTAATGAAGTGCCAGACTCATTTTACAAATGAGGAAACTGTTCAGATAGAGTTTGTAACATTAAATAGTAATAATCATTTTCACTTACCATTTCAAAAATGCCTTAATTATATTTTTGATTTTTTACTGAGGTGAAATTCACACAGTGTGGACTATTTTGAGTACAATTCACTGGCTATTTTATTACATTCATGATGGTGCAGCTGTCACCTCTACTTCCAAATATGTTCATCACCTCAAAAGAAAACCCTGTACACATTAGCAATCACTTCCCACCTGTCCCTCTCCCCAGCCACTGGCAACCACTAATCTGCTGTCACGGTGGATTTACCTATTTTGGGTGTTTAATATAAATGGAATCATATAACACGTGCCCTTTTGTGTCTGGCTTTTTTCAGTTAGCATAATATTGTTAAGGTTCATGCATGCTGTAGCACATATCAGAGCTTCATTCCTTTTTGTGGCAGAATAATATTCTGTTGTATGGATGTACTATGTTTTGTCTAGCCATTTATCAGTTGATGGACGTTTGGGCTGTTTCCACCTTTTAGCCCTTGTGAGTAGTGCTGCTGCAAACACATTCACACACAAGTGTTTGTTTGAACATCTCTTCAGTTTGGGGAAGTATTACCTAGGAGTGGAATTGTTAGGTTGTACAGTAATTCTGTTTAACTTTCTAAGGAACTGCCAACCTGTTTTCCATAGCTGCTGTACCATTTTTACATTCCCATCAGCAGGGTTCCAATTTCTCCACATCCTTACCAACACTTGTGTATTGTTTGTTTTTTATTTTTAATTGTAGCTGTCCTGGTGGGGTGAAGTGTTTAATTAGAGTTTTATAGAACTTTTATATTTTATTACTTTTATGGCCATGTAATTGATTATGGGGTATTTAAAAACTTTTTAATAAATGTTAATATTTTTACATACCTTTCTCTTTTGTATTATTTCTTTGAAGAAATCCCCTGCATGAAAATACAGGGTCAAACTAATGACTTTTGATATGTATTGCCAGATTACCTCTCAAAGTTACTCTATTGTATTTAATTGTCTCTAGCAATGAATGAAGGCATGTAGCTATTACAGACTTGACAGCGTTGGATTTTATAATTTTAAAAATTTATTAAATTGATATTAGAAAATGGCATCCCATTACTTTTCTCCTTGTTATTTTAATTGTTAGCCAGGTAGGACTTTTTCACATTAGTCATCGTTTTTCTTAGATCAAATTAAATGTTGATGCCCTTTTCACTTTTTTTTGTTGGATTGGTTTTTTATACAGTTGGGTTAATTTTCGTAATATAGAATAGCCATTAACTACTTTATGTGTTTTCTTCCTTTGTGTGTGTGTTTTATAAACATTTGAAATATTTATAGGGTCAAAATAGTTCACTTCTTTTGTTTGTGATTTTTATCTTTTTTCCTTATTTTATAAGAATATCTTAAGTCTTACTGATCATATATATTTTTCTTTTCATTTCAGCATTTATATAACTCTGCAGCCTTCAAAGCTCGAACCAAAGCTCGAAGCAAATGTCGAGATAAGAGGGCAGATGTTGGAGAATTCTTCTAGATTTTCAGAACTTGAAGACTATTTTCTAATTTCTATTTTTTTTTTTCTATTTCTAATGTATTTAAACTCTAGAGACAGTTTTTATCTTGAATTAACTTAGCTAACTTTTGTAGTACAGGTTATATTGCTTATAATTTAATGTACAGTATTGCAAATGGTGAGTTCTGATTATTGAATGTTCTCTGTAAATATAATCAGTAAACATGAATAAAGTGTTTGTAATGTTTGATCACATTCTATTTATGAAGAGAGTAAAAATACGGTATTTCACTCTGATTTCATGATGAGAAAAATTATTAACCAAGGTTTACTTTCTTAGACTGTGGTTGTCAAAAATACTGATTGATTATAATGATATATACATACAAGGTATTTAACTTAATATCTTAGACAAGAGTTCTGGATACAATTTTTGGGATCTAGTTCCTTTGGAAAAGCTGCTGTATTTTAAATTTTAAATGGAATGTAGCTTTTTAAATCTTATTACTGGGATCAACAAAAGGAATTTTACCATGAGACCTCACAGCTGCACTAAAGGCCGTTCAGTTCAGCTATTGGGAGTTCATGATGAATTAGCATATGCCAGAAAGGTTGCTAACCTTAACCTATCAGAGCAGTAACACTGATTTTATCTGCTGTATGAAACTGTGTGCATTTTATTTTGAAATAAAGATCTTTTCACACCAAAAATGCTTCTTTTACAATACAAGAAACATTATAGCTTTGAGGTACAAAGTTCAAAGTAACCAAGCCAGATTGGAAGGGAGACAAAGCCTTATTTGTATTTTTGAAAACATTAAAATAGGTGGAAAAATGTAGCAATATGTAATTGGGATTCAAGTTACTGACTTTTAAGAATATTGCTGCTTGGTTGCCCCTATGAGGTATTCTTATTTTGTGAGAAATTGTAAGGATTTTGACAAGGCATTAAACTTTAATTATTAAACTTTAAATTAAAATTATATGGTGCAAGCAACACATGTAGTTTAGAGGCCATAGGCTTATTTCTTTGATATCCTTGCTGTAGAAAACAGTGAGGGCTGGGGAAGCATATACACTGTAGAGGAAAATATCCAAATCATTTAAGGTACTTTTTCCAAATATAAGTGTTCTTCCTCTCCTACGTCCCCGACAAGGCCTGGAAGGTCTGATGTCCCCCCTGGGTGAAAATCATTGGCTAGTTTATGGAGTCACTTGCTGAGTTCCATCCGTCCTACAGTACAATGGAAAACAGATTGGGAATCTAGAACTTGGATTTGTGTGTTGTCACTTTGTCATATTCTAAATGGATTAGAACCATGGAAAAGAGATTGCAAAAAGGGATTTTTCCCTAAATCTTCAACTTAATATATGTATACCTAATTTTAAATAAAAACCAATTTTTATTAAAGTGTTATGTACATAGTTTAATAGTACTAAAAGGCGTGTGAGGAAAAAAGGCCCCTGCTCCATCCTTTCCCATTCCTCAGTCCCATCCCAGTTTTTTTCTAGCTCCTTGGTTTCAGGTTTCTAAATAATATGCTGATGCAGCTATTTCTTAGTTTATTATTTTTAGACATTTGTCAACTTGCTATTAAGACAGATGAAGACTTTTTTCCTTTCCCATCCTTCCGATATTTTTTTGGTTAAATCAGCATCATTGTTTGCATTACTTTGATCTATTTGTATGTTCACTGTGCTTACATTTTTTTTCTCATACATTTTGTCTTTGAGTTGTCTTATTTTTTGGATTTATGTGCACATCGCTAATTCTTCCCAAACAGTCCCAAATAAATTTGTAAAAGTTTTCTTGATTCTTTACCTGTTTCGATCTAGACTAGTTTCTCATCCAAGGTGACATCGCTGATCACCCTGGGGATTTGTTTTCTTTTCTCTTGAGTTGGATCCCCATGTGTTCATTATTAGTCTGCTTCCTTGTTTAAGTGGAGCACTTCCTTCAGTAGTTTCTTGGGAATGGGTACTTGAGAGGTCAATTATATTGAGATTTTATGTTTCTGAAAGATAGTTTGCTTGGTATATGAAATTCTAGGTAGAAAATCAAATTTGAAATTTTTGAAAATTTTGATTGACAGTTGTACTCAAAATCAACTCAAAATTTTGAAGGCATTGCTCTATTCTAATTAGCAAAATCTTAAGGTATCTGATGCAAATTTTATTTGTTTTGTTTCTTTGTTTTCTCAGAATATTATGTTTAGTGTTAATACTATGCTTTGGTGGTCTTGGAAAATATTTTTTAGTTCTTTGTCTCTCCCCCTCCACCCCATTTTCTTTGTTTTGGAACTCCATGAAATAGTGGAGCTCCTAACTGAGCCTTGGGCCTTATTAATCTTTTTTTTTTTTCTAGGAGATTTCCTGAACATGATTTTCCAATCTTTCTATTCTATTTTATTTTTGGTTGACAGACTACCTGCCTGTATTTAGTTCCATGTGTCACTTTTGCCTCCCAATCCTAGGCCTGCCTGAGTTCTGCAGGGCTGGCCATGGATGATAACCCTGCTAAGGCAGATACACGCTTATCTTTTTCCCATGTTCAGTACATTTGTTGAACTCTACAATATTGTTTCTTATTTTCGTTCATGTAGTTATGTGATTTTTATTCCTGTTCTGACTTTTTACTGGGGTTTTTGGGAGGAAGAGAAGAAAACGAATGTTAACCTGCATATTGAATTTATACAGGGATGAGTTTTTATTCATGAAATTCATGGGTAATTGCTGGACAAGGCTTACTGGGGACTCAGTGTATCAGAATGCTTGAGTTTTCTTGAAAGTAGTAAAATGCTGTGTGACAAACCAGTTCATTGCTTGATTCTTGGTTAATCTTGCTGGTTTGAAGGAATTTGATATGGTCCCTGCCATTTCTTTTTCTCAAGTATTAATTTTGAGGCATTCTATTATCTGTGACTCAGGTCTTCGAGGGCAGTTTCCTGGGGGTGATACTCGGAGATATATTTGAAAGAAAACAGGAGATGCTTGAAAATGTCCCCAGATTAAACAATTCATGTAAGAATATCTATTTTCTTCTGACTCAAAACACTTCTTAATGTAGCCTTTCAGTTACATAATAAAGTAGTTTATCTTGCTTTGCTCTTAAGTGGTTCTCCATGAATCTAATTGGTTTAAAGCCAGTCTTGTCCCCCTGACTGGTATATAGTTAAATTCAGACTTTCATGTGATGTTTGGGTTTAATTCTCATCTCTGCTACTTAAAATCTGTGTATCCTTCAACAATTAAATTCCTTAGTCTTCATTTTCCTCATCCCTGAGGGGAGATTAATATTAAAATTTCACAGAGTTATAAGAGAGGAAAAACGCAGTAAATAAAAAAGAGGCTTTACTTCTATTATTTCTTCAAAGGATAGATGGTTAAAGACAGGTATAGCAGTTGGGAGATTTTTTTTTTTAAACTAGGCATGATATAACCACTGTGAACATTTTTATTTTTCAGAGAATGTGGCATAGCTTTTTAATGTATAATGTTTCTGAGAAAACACTTATTAGTTATATTGTCTTCCTCCAAGAATTGGTCCTTGGGTCTTGAGGCTTAAGAAAATGACATTCCTTTCCCCCAAAATAGGGATCAAGAAAATTTTGTGGAGCATATGTTTTCTAACTGATGTGAAAAATATTTCAAGGATGAATAATGTCCATCTACTCGTAGCAATGGAAGATAGGATTCCAGAGGACTCATCCATCTTACAACCTAAGCCTTGGTGTCCTGTTGGGATAGTTAGTTCCTGTGACCTGGAACCCTAGCTTGTAGCATCTTGTACGTACACCAGAGGGCAGAAGCTCCTTGGAGTGTACGGGAGGGGACCACCTAAGTGAGTGGCAGGGAAAGGAGGAGATGCAAAAAGTCACAGCCTTGGAAAAGCCTTTGAAAAGGAAAGGAGGTGGATGAGATGAAGTGCCTCCTTCACTTCAGTGGGTCTGTAGCCAGGCCGAATCCCAGTCACAATCGCTTTTCGAAGCTACTGGAAGCCTCAGGAGTCTGATCTGTCATCATCCTAGCTGTGAAGTCACAACCATTTTCTGTCCCTGTTTGTTGCAGTTCTCTCGTTGGTCTGGAGTCCTTGCGAGTTGGTTGTCACAGTGGCAGCTCCTGCCTTCTACAGGATGTTTATATGTGGGAGCATACTGAGGCAGAGGTGCTGGCAATGTGGTGTGAGCTTATGTAGCTGCTTCAGCCAAATAATGACATTAACTTCAGTCCAACAAGGACATCATCAGTTACCAACAAAATCAGAGCATGGTGTTTGTTGTTCGTGGTGTTGTTTTCTTTTTAAAGCATAGTTTCAGTAATGTATTTTCAACCTTAGACATTATGAAAAAACTCAGTATTTGGAATCTTACACTACTTGGCTAAGTTAACACTAAATATAGACCAACAGTTTCATGCTGGGGTTTATGGGCTTCATAGGAACACCCGTACGCTGAAGGAAGGCAAAGAAAGAACCACAGCATTTGTAGAAAGTTTTGTTGTAGTTGCTTCTGGATAATTAGTTTTGTTTTTTTTTCTGGTAACCTACCGGTCAAAGCTCATATTTTTGTAAGTAATTTGCATGCTATTACTCTGCTGAGATTGAATTATCATTCTTGAGTCTGGGAAGTTTTTGTTGCATGTGCTCCATGCTTTTAACTTCTGATAGAAATGATTTTAGACTTGATTTTAAAAATTACTTTTTGAATGTGAAGAGGTATTGATTCTGAAATGAAATTAAAGAGCAGGTTACCATGACTTACTCAATAAAGCTTTTTATTAGCTTTGAATTAAGCCCTATTATAACAATTCTGGCTTTGTGGCAAGCAACACTGGTGTGAGTTATTTCTAAGGTTTGATACCAAGCACCTATGGGAAAAAATAAAGCACAAAGCAATTTTTCACAGACAATCTTTATTTGTCAGAATATTTCTTTGTAGGTAGTCAAAGAATTCTCAAATGACAAAAAGAATCAGCTGTTAGAGAAAAATGAAATTACTTACATGTTTCAGCTCAAAGTGTTGGATAAGTTTCTGTTAAAAAGCTGCTGCTTTAGCCAATCTTGGTGAATAAGCAAATTTGCACACTGGAGTTGGGAAGGAGGGTTAAGTCAGTGTGGTGCGGAATTGCTAGTAACACCGGCTTCTCCAGCCTCGCTGGTTGTTCTCAGATGCCCTCATTTGGACACGCCAAATATAGCAAGTGCTGGGTGTCAAAACAGCTGTGGGTCCTGTTGTTAGGGCCATGTGATCTTGTATCCATTTACTAGCAGACTCATGAGTCATTTGCAAATCATTTGTAAGCTCTTGGCAGGCCTAAACAACACCCAACCCAGTTTTCGCTATTAGTTCTTTATTTTACATTCACATGTAGCAATTCACTTAAAAATATATTGAAACGGCATGTATTTACATTGTGATTTAACTCTAAAGAAATTTTCTTTCAGAGCACTTCATAGCCCACTCTAGGTTGTTGTCTTGATACTTTTGGAGTGACCTTTTGAGTAGGTAGCAAGGCCATTGATTTGGAGATTTTATGAGCTGTACTTTTAAAGTCCATTTTTGTGGCTGTGATTTTCTAGCTAGTTCTCTACTTTGTAAACATCGAGTAAGCCTCCCTACGAGATTTCCAGCAATAGAAGTTACATTCCTGAAGGGGAAGCTAAGGCTCAAAGATACTGAGTCAGAGATCCAAAAATGAACCACGCTGTCAGTCACCAAGCCTAAAATAGCAGCTCTATTTGGAACAATGAGCCTGTGATATGAAACATACAACCTTTATTCCTGGTCAAATATTAGTGTTTGGTCAAATATTAGTATAAAGAGATGATAACATATAAAAAACACTTCTAGAAGAATTGTTTTGAAATCTATGGCTATGTACCAGTCAATGCTTTTGGGCCTTGGTTTTATCTGCAAAAGGATTAGATATGATTGATCTCTAGGGCCTTTCACTCTATCTGCTGCTGCTTTTAAAAAAAAATTGTTATATCAAGTCATTTCCTTAGAAATGCTCCATGAAGTATATTTAAAACTCAATATTTACTATCAATATTTAAAATGCTACAGTGATATAAAAAATATTCAGAGAATTGTTTTTGTTAACTAAAATTGCAGGATAACTAAAACAAACTTTTTAGCTTTAACTCTGAAAAATAATTTTAATTCATGACTTTTCAAACTTACTGTTTCTCTTAGCTAGGGTTTTGGGAACACATTTTTCACAAGTACCAGTAGGTTTTAGGTATTACTGAGAAATTGCTGGGTTTTAATATTTTAGAGTGCTATTTAAGCTGCTTAGTAGATGGCTGATAACATTTTTTTCAGATCTTCTATAGGTGTGTACTTTTTTTTCTGAATTTGTTTTCTCCGAACTCTAATTATATCTTCTTCGTTCTGTTGCTAGGTATTAAAGGAAATTTAAGAAATGGTAACAGGAAGTAAACAGTGTGTTGCCACATATAGGCAGGCACAATATTTATTGCATTGACTTCACTAGAATCCAGACAGACATCACATGAAGATTTCTACCCTTAATCTTATTTCCATTAGCGTACTTACTGCCTCCAGTTCTTTTGAAAATAGATTTAAATCCTAAATAAATATTATAGGTGTTCCAAATTAACATATGTCACTGGCTTCTAAACCTGGCACTGGGCATTTGAAGAATAGGATTGGTCTCTACACTGAGTTTTCTGTCTATTGGGGAAGTCAAAGATAAGCAAATAAATGCAATAAAATACTATAGATGTTCTGTTAGAGGAATATACAGGATCGAGCCAAAGCAGAAAGACAGGTTGGTACTCTCAAAGGATGTCATGTCTGAGCTGAGTCTTGAGAGAGGATTAGGAAGGGGTATGGAAAAAAACGGTATAAAAGAAAGGGAAGGCCCAGTGAACACTGGACAAAAGGCCCAGCTCCAGCTCTGCTACCACCCAAATGTGTGATCTTGGGCATTAACCTTGCTGAGCTTTTTCATTTCCTCATTTGCAGAAAGATCAGGGGCTAGATTAGAGCATGTCTCACATTCTTTCCAGATCAAAGGAAACCTTCTATCATTATTAGACTCATTTTATGAAAAGAGATAACTGTCAAAGAAAGTTTTTATAGTAATTGGAATTAATCTTCCCAGATTGTTCTTTTCACATAATTAAATGGCCGCGAGTTTTCTGTTATGCTAGATAGACATCTTAATATAGACCGCTTTAATCTCTTGAGGCTTTTCAGTGTTGCTTAAAGTTGTGCTGACATTAGAAAATATTATCTTTAATGTAAACCTCAATTTTAAAAATATTTATTACCTAAGTGACCACACTCTACGGGCAGATGGAAGAGACCTCAGAGGTCCTAGAGTGTAGCAGAACTCCTCTTTATAGCATCTACATTTGCTAAGACCTTGTCTTGGGGATTCACAGCCAGCACATACTGGGTAAAGAAAATATTCGAGAGTAAGGACTCATATGCCATATTGAGGGAGAATATAAAAATTAAAGTTTTGTATTAAAGCCTCATGCAATTAGTATGGTTCACAGTAACATCCTCCTCTTCTTTCAGAATCTTTACGGCCGTAGGCTGACTAGCTCAATTTTGTCTTTCTATATATTTATACCTAGTCTTCTTGCACATAGGATTTGAGGTGTCTTGCCAGAATATGAACAATGTAATAAAAGAGAAAAATTTAAAAATCAATTACAAAATAAAAAAGAGATCCGGGGAAAATATAGGCAGAATTGAGGAAAATGAGGAGGAGAAAAGAGCTTTTGCAGATAAACGGCACAAACAGCGATGTATTTCTTAAAATTTGGCCACGCATTTGATCTGAGCTTCCTGGCAAGCAAAGCAAAAAGAATACTTATGAAGTTGTCCACAAAAGGAACTATTTTCTTCCAGATAAGCAAAGCTTCTCTGGACCCTTAGTTGAAATGGTATCTGTGGGTGGCTCATTATAGGCCTGCTGGCCTTCCTGCTGGCTATACAGTTCTTTCCAGGTTGAGCTCTCCCTAGCCCAGCCTCTTGTTTTTCATGTCACTGTTTTCTTTCAGGGACAATGAATCATTCTTCCCAGGACACTGGCTCTGGTGGCATTCATGAAGACAGAAAGCTTTATGTTGTGGATTCCATAAATGACTTAAACAAACTAAACCTCTGTCCAGCTGGATCGCAGCCTCTGTTCCGTATGTGGCCTGGGAAGGCATGGCGGCCCTGCCTGGCTTCTGGGCCACCCAGAAATAGCGAATGCTAGCGTGGGGTGGGGTGGGGTGGGGGGGGGGGGGGGGGGGGGGGGGGGGGGGGGGGGGGGGGGGGGGGGGGTGGCGGGGGTGGAGTGGGCACCACTTGCTACCGGAAATGCTGTTTATTGTTAGGCATTTTATGCTTTTGTCCCCTGAATACTTGATAGGATTTGGGGCTTTCTTAGATCCTTAACAAGATTTGAACTCTTGTCTTTAAAAGTTCTGAGAATCCCAGCTAGTTTGGCCAGGGAGGAAAGGTAAAAGTTAAATCAAAGAAAGAAAACCCTACGAAGATCTTGTGGAGTTCCTGTCCTGGAAGGGGTGGCGCCTTGCAGAGCTGGGCTCTCCAGCCTGCTCACCCTTCTCGTGGTTGCAGGGCCTCCTGGGGACCACAATTAGGTCACCAATGGCGCCCACTTTCCTAAAGGGACCTTGTTTTAGAGCGTCTGCTGAGAAAATGCTCAACATATTCACCTAGTTCTTTAAAAAATCATTAAAATTCTGTTGGGCAAGAAAGTCAACTTCATTTTCTACTTACAAATTATAAATTGCCCAATTAAAGGGCTAGAAAAAGGGTGGGGGAAACAAAACAAAAATCTGTTACATACTAAAAGTATATCTTGCCCCCTAAGTATTATAAATGAGTTCTGTCAGACCATTTGGAGCCCTGTCTTTTCTAACTGAAATGCTGACCTTCAAACACAGGTGCTAATGGCCCACTTGCCATTTGTTTCCTATGCACTCTTAACTTACTGTCCCAATTTTGTATCTATTGTTCCCCCTGTAAATCTTTTCTGAGTTCTTGTTTTTTTCTTCATTTTAATAAGTTCAGATTTTCACCTGTTTTTATGGCAGTCGGGGCTCAAGAAAAATAGGTAGTTGGGTGTCAGCCTGTGCTGGTGCTTTGATTAAAAAGCAACAGCTATTGAGCGGGTGACATAGGATGTACTTCTGAGGGATGGGACGTGAGCCACCCATCCATCCAGACTCAAGGAGCACAGTGAGTGGACCAATTCAAAGTAGGAGAGAATACAAAAAGTTATTCCACAGTCTCCACTTCCCCAGCATTTCATTCCTTCTTATTCAATTTCACCTGGGGGGTTATTAGGCAACTAGACCTTATAAAATGGTGACTAAATGCAGACAGTTTATGGTTTGGGTGAACCAAGCTGTTGTATCAACATAGTTGCATTCTCAGTTCCACCGCAAAACATTTAAAAGAACCTGGTTTTCAGAGCATATCCACCCTGAAGACAGAGTTAAGAAACCAGAATATATCAGGGCCACTTTTGTTTAAATGGATGTAGGCATAATTGATTATTCCTATGATAAAAGGAGGTTCTGAGGAGATAGTCCACAATATTCAGTTCAATCTTCCACCCGGGGTAGGTGCCCCACACCCAGCTGTTTTACTCCTGGGTTACTTTGGGAAAAGGCATGAGCTCCTCCTTCAGCTTTACCCTTTACCTTCTTCATCCTCACCCCAAAGGAAAATCTGCATCCTGCTACCTCAGTGCTAACATGGTCTCCAAAGAACTTTCCAGACAGGTCTAAGGAGATAGCTTAACTCTGTTTATTTCTTGAATACCAATATGAAAGAAGGTAAATCACTCACAAATGGCTCTCGGCCCAAAGGCATTTCTAAAACATAAGCCACTCTCCAGGGTCGTCAGAGGGAATATGGGTGTATGCACACGCCTGTGACAGCAGGGGACCGCTCAGTTCTGAGGACGAGTTGTACGCTGAGGAGTTTGTGTCATTGCTGTTTTTCGTTTGTTTCGTATTAGCTCTAGAGGAGAAAATCCCCGTCTTGGGCACAAACCCGGGAAACGGAAGCCGGAGTCTGTTTTTTGTGGGGCTGCTGATTATGCTGATTGTCAGCCTGGTCCTGGTTTCCTTCGTGATATTTCTAATAAGTGAGTACCACTGGCGGGTTTTCATTACTTGTATGTTCTTACTTTGCAGCTGGTTATTTAACTTCACTCCTGGAATGGGTCAATGCTTTCTGACCAGTGCTTACACTGAAAGACAGAGGGGGAAGGAAGGCCTTTAGTGAGCCCCATTGGCCTGGGACACAAGCCAGCTATAGAAGTCCACGGTGCCAACAGTTCATGAACATTATGTTAAATACAGCATTTTGATTTCTCACTTGGAGCCCCTAACTACCAAATGGAAACTTATTCTAGTTAGTTCTAGGTTTTCTTTATCCAGTGCATAGATTTCCCCAATAAATTAAGTCTAGAATATATAGTCACACTGAGGTTTCAAACTGCCTCCTAGTTTTGTCACAGAAATCAATTAGAAGTACACGAGGCTTGTGCACACCTTAGAGATAGTGTTGGGGACATTCTAAAGGTGGCATCTTTCCCTTTCGACCCTGTCTGGGCTAGTGGCCTGTTCCTGGCCTGGGTCATGTGTGCTGTGCCCTTGAGTGGTGACTCAGGCTTCTGCATGCCAGCTCCTCAGCCAGGAGATCCTCCAAGTTCCAGGGTCACCCTCCTCTCTGCTGCTGAGGTGGTGAGGGGCACTGTCCACCTGCCGTCTCCTCCTTCTGCATGTTGCCTCCTCCTGCAGAGCCCACTAGTTTCCTCTGTCATTCAGAATTATTATTATTATTGTTGTTATTTTGAGACACAGTCTCACTTTGTTGCCCAGGCTAGAGTGAGTGCCGTGGGATCAGCTGAGCTCACAGCAACCTCAAACTCCTGGGCTCAAGCAATCCTGCTGCTTCAGCCTCCAGAGGAGTGGCTGGGACTACAGGCATGCGCCACCATGCCCGGCTAATTTTTTCTATATATGTTAGTTGGCCAATTAATTTCTTTCTATTTATAGTAGAGACGGGGTCTTGCTCTTGCTCAGGCTGGTTTTGAACTCCTGACCTTGAGCAGTCCTCCTGCCTCGGCCTCCCAGAGTGCTAGGATTAGAGGCATAAGCCACCGTGCCCGGACACGTTCAAAATTATTTTAGAAGTAACCGCTGGGACACCAGCTGGGAGTTAACCTCTAACATCTGGTTAACCTTCTCATGTTTATTAGCTAAGGCCATCAGCATGATGCCAACACCTTAGCTCCTAAAGGATACCTTTGAAAAAGAAACTTGCCTGAAATGGAAATAATAAGGAGTGCAAATATAAAGTACTGATTTTGTGCTGCATTTCTTGAAAAATTTAACTCTGATAAACAGACCTCAAAGTGTTCTCCTCTCTAGTTTACTATATTGCCAGGAGTTCTGTTTATTTGGAAAATACTGCACCTCTATTCTTAGGAATGGTCTGAGGGGAATTATTACACCTTCATTATGGGCTGGTAATTCAGAACCAGTAGAAATGTGGAAACAGGCTGCGACCCTAACAATGGGGAGCTCAAAAGCTCCCAAGTTTTAGCTCCCAAATGAGGAGCTGAAAACCTCTTCTGAGAATGGGTCTCAAAATGAGCCATGGAACAATCGCTTTTGGGGAGGTAATCAGACATGCTGGCAGTTTCTGTTGGATGCTCACGGCCATGTCTTTCTCAGCTGAGATCTCTGTGGAGCTGCCAAAGGTAGTCTAGGCTGGCACCAGAGGTTGTGAAGTTAATTCACTTGATAGGCAACTTTGGTCTTCACCAGCTTCTCCCGGGGGTTTCTGGGATGTGTGGATGTTGGAACAAGGGGGTTGCCAGGAGTGCCTGTCAGCACTCGGCTGGACACCAACACGGGACTCCCACAAGTCCCAGCAGAACGCACTGGGAACCAACGTAACACAGTCTGTTTTCCATTTTGAAGTTCAAACGGGAAACAAGATGGATGATGTGTCAAGAAGACTAACAGCTGAGGGAAAGGACATCGATGATCTTAAGAAAATCAACAATATGATTGTGATGCGGCTCAACCAGCTGGACTCTGAACAGAACTAAAGAAATGATTTTCCAAGAGTAGCTGCTAACGCCTTGAGCTTCTCTCACTTTACTCAGAGTGTACAGGGTTGAGAGTTGAGAAAGTGCATTTCTCTGGGCAACAGATTATCTAGTCAGGGATCCCAGCCCTGGGGCCTACTTTCTGTGCCCCTGGGAGGCCAGCGGGTTTGAGATAGCAGCTAGAAAGGGGCGAGCTCGTCTCAGCTCCATTGTGTGGTAGGGTGCTTCAACTTTAATGGGGTTAAGGGTGGGTGGCTAGCATGGTGGGGAATCCACAGGAAGCAAGAGAATTTGGCTGTGTGCTTACAACTTCTCTTCCAAAAGGAGTTCTGTCACTAGAACAAATTCATTGTATCAATGAGGTTCATGATGCCTCGTGCACCTTTACAAATTCCTGTGAAAGCCTGTGGGAGTCATTGAATTTTATGTTGAAGGGAACCAGATGATCACGCTTTTCAATAAAAGAGATTCTGCTCAGGTGATTAGACTTTGACTCTGTTTCCCCAGGGATGGCAATGGGTGGGCTTCTGCTCTCTGGTGTTTGCTGGTAGAAGCAGGAGTAGTAGTCATATGTGTATGGTGGGGCTGTGGGGTCAGAAGAGGAAGCCTAATTAATTAATTCAACTAATGTTTATTGAACTCCTACTCTGTGCAAATTACCTTACTCCAGAGGAGTTTACATTCAAGTGTGGAACAAAAGAGATGTACAGTTCCATATAATTATATAAGTTTCATTTATTTTGTTTCTCATGGAAAAAAACCCTGCTGATTAACTTGGATGAAATTTGATAGATATGTGGCCTTTGTTAAACTACAGTGGGAAATCGTGTATTTGGAATATTTGGAACCTGCCTTGTCTTAGCACAAAAAGCAAGGCACACAGTATATGGCATAAGATATGGTGTGAAACAAATGAGTTCGAAAAGTGTATAAGAAAATTAATTTCTAAATCTAAATCAATTTCTAAAATCTAAATTTCTAAAATCTAAATTTCTAATTTCTAAATCTAAATTAATTTCTAAAATCTTAGAAAATCTTTTATTTAACATATAGTGTACAAGTCATTTTTAGAATCTAATGCGATTCTGTCATTTTGGGTTGATTAAAAACATCTGGGTTTAACTTGAAACTGAAACACACAAACACATGCATTTTATACACTTAACAGTTAATGAAATAAACACAAGACGTTTTACTTATCCATTTTCAACTCAAAAAACCTTAAATGTACTACATACTTTTTCTCTTCAAATCGATAGGCAAAACATTTTGTATTTACTGAAAACTTCTTTCTGACCTGTTAATAGGGTGTGGCAAAGATAATTTGTTGTTGGGATTTGTTGTAAGTCATTTTAGAAATTACTGAGGATCTGATGCAACAACTCATTTTAAAAAATACCCATTTCTTTCCTGTTTGCTCTTATTACACTTCCCCCTCACCTTTCTACCTACACAATGGATATATTTCATGCTCAGCAATAGGCGATCTTTATTCCAAGAAATTTTGACTTTTACAACATGAAGTAGTGTCTGATAAATCATTTTATCCATCTTTTGGATCCAGCTGAACTGAGACGTGTCCAGATAGGAAGAAAAGAGACAGTTTTCCACTGTTCTTTGGATTTTGTATGTGTTCCCAAGAGGCAAAGAGAGAGATTTTTCTGGACTTTACCTGCATGCCCCTCCTGACGTTGCCAGCCATGATGGGAGGATCATATACATCTTATGGCCCCAAATCCATTGCTATGCATTTTATATTTGGCCTTGGGGACCACAGAAGGGCCTTTTCACAGCCCCTCGGATTGTTCCACCTTGGAAGCCACCTGTAGGCAGGCCTGGCTCCGCCCTGCACACCACACTCTGCTGTGATGCTTGGAGGCCACTGAGCCATGAAACCACCTGGAAGAAGTGGCCACTGAGCTGCAACTTGGCGGGTATAGGGTACTTGTCTCTCAGTACCTCATTCCTGCGGGCCAGCTGGCCAGGACTCTGTCAGTGGGCAGCAATCTTCAAAGCAAGAACAAAGCAAACCAGGAGGTATAAAAATAATGCACAAAACAATTGCTTTTCCCAATCTGCCTGGGAAAAAGTAAGAAAGAAATTTTCTTAGAAAATTTCAATGGAAACAATCTCTCCTTGAGTCAGAGTATAAAAATAATTTTATTCTAGCTTAAAATAATGACCCTATTTATATTCAGTAGAGAAGGATGAGCAAAAGAAATAGATTATCAGAAAGGGCTGGTAATCTATCCCCTCTGTGAATGAGTTTGCCCAAGAGAAGATGTGAAGAGGAGAAAGAGCCTTAGGACTATAAGCCATCTTTCCACAGATTTGGGAAATGTATTTAAAGAAAAAAAGGAAAGATGAAAATGTTCTTATTGGAGCCTGTGTGACCTCTTATTTGGTGAAGAAGATAAAGGCTCCTCAGTAATTTTTTTTTCCCCCATAGGGAAAATACTACTGAAAGGTAATTCAACTTCTCATGAAGATGAAAATAATTTTAAATTTCTATTAGAGACAGCCTGTTGCCCAGGCTAGAGTGCAATGGTGCCATTATAGCTCACTGTAGCCTCAAACTCCTGAGCTCAAGCAATCCTTCACACCCAGCCTCCTGAGTAGCTGGGACTATAGGAACACATTACCATGACCAGTTAATTTTTTTTCATGTTTTTAAAGACAGGGTGTTGCTCTGTTGCTCAGTCTGGTCTTGAACTCCTGGCCTTAAGCAATCTTCCTGCCTTGGCCTCTCAAAGTGCTGTGATTACAGTGATGAAGAAATAATACAGAACAAACAGTTCCATTTAACAAATGGGCAGTAAGCATATATACTGTGCCCAGCAGTGTGGGCTGCCCTGTGCTGGACACTTACAGAAGATCCAACAGCAGGCGAAGGTGTGGTCCCTTCTCCAGAGGGGCTCCTGAGCCGTCATGCAAATGAGACATGTATGAGAAACCAGGAATGACCCGTAACCATGAATCAGAGACAACAGTGTGCCCATTGAAGTATCCCCTGGGAGGCTGGCAAAAGCCCTGATTCTTGGGCACTGGCCTCAGATACTCTGACTTAGCAGGTATGGGGTGGGGCTGGGAATTCATGTTTTAAAGACGCTGCTGTGAGGATTCTGGTGCTCAGATGGATTTGGAGTACACTTGGGTTGGGATCTGGCTCTATTCATGAGTGTTTAGCATATTGCTCAACTTCCTTGACTTTTGAGATTTTCCTCTATAGCATGGGAGGATGTTGCTGCTGGCGAGAATGTGGGAATTGACAGGAAACCCTTCAGTCTCTGTGTTGTTAACAAGTCACTAATAAATTAAATGAATTTTAATTGTATATTAAAGAAGGGGGCCATCCTACCATTTGTAGATATTATTTTGAAGCCCTGGTAACACTAATAATCTCTTGTCAAAGAACCCCCAAACATCTTCAGGTGAACACACTCACACCACTTCCTTCCTCACCTATTTTACTTTTCTTCCTTTCCATCTCATCCCTGTACCTCCTCCCCTCCTTGTCCCAACCTTCTCAACTGTGCTCAGCTGAAGCTCCAGTTTAAGGGGCTACTCAACTTTTCTGAAGGGCCATTGGGGGCTACTCTGATAGCAGAAGGGGTGAGCAAGCACCTGGGAACCCCAAAGGGTGAGTGACCTAGGAGAGGCTGGACAGGACGATTGCTCTACGTACTGGGCCAGGGGAGCCTGGGAGGGCCTGGCTGAGAAGAGCAGTGCTGCCCGGGCCCTGCCTACGGAGCAGCTGCACATTAGAATTCCCCCTGCCTGGGCCCACCTACACCAGTACAACGGGATTCATCAAGTCTCCATTTTGAGTGGGAACTTCCTGTCATGTCTTCATCTGCAGACATTTTATAGATCCTTTGACAAGAAAAGATTGACATTCCCTGGGGATTGAGAGTAATGTCTGGGGGTGGTCAGATGTCTCTTCTTTGATCTAACAGTTCTAAGTGACTTAGAAACAACTCTAGTCTTCAGAACTATTGGGATTAAAAAATGTAATCAATCAATATCAAAATATTCAATCAAAGCCAACGACAGTCATGCACTATGAACTGAAGCAAGTGATTGATTCAGTCCTCAGCACCTGAGAGGCAAAACCAAGCACTGAGGTGAGCAGTGACTTGGCTATTATGCAGGGTATAGAACAACTCTCAAAACACGGCAAAGAGAATAAAATCGGTCTTAAATTTAGCTGAGTTTTCTTTCTGTCTTTGCAAAAGAGTCAATTTGGACAAAACTTGGGTTATCCTGAATTTCCCCCATCACCAAAGAGAAATCAAACTAGATCTATAAAAGTCACATAATAAGTTAGAAAAAAATTCAAGGGAGCTTTTACTTTCGTCTCATTTCTTCCTTCTCTCTCTCTTTTTTCCTTTGAGGTTGTTATTGCCAATAAATCAGCTAGGGATTTTTCTGTGCACTTTGTTTTTTGGGCCTGTGATGTGGGGAGGAGGATGCAAAGGGGGGTAAGGGCAGAGAAAGCAGCCCTGGCGTGAAATACAGAGCCCACCTGTGAGGTTGTAGCATTAGAAGTCTTCCCAAATGGAGGACCACATGAGATAGTTCATGTCTTCGCACGTAGATGAAGAATAAATGGGCTGTGAGAAACACAATCGAATTTAGAGAAAAGAAGGAAGTCATGATCCTAATTTTTCTTTATTTCTTGGCCTCTCCCGTCCCTTTTTCAATTTTGAAACATGATTCATTATTCATGCACGAATCCTCAAAGAAATGGGTTGTGACAAGCTTGTTCCATCAGGAATATTCTTTCTGAATGTGGAGTGCCGCTGCCACAGAGCGTGTATTGTCTGATGAACAAATGGAGCAGACCAAACAAGTGAAAAAAAAAAAAACCACTTAGTAATTTAATTATGGCTTCTCCAATGCTAAAAATGTCTAATTTTTCATGCCCTAAAATGATTTTAAATATTTCCAGAAACTGACTAAAATAGAATTCAACTCTGTATCCCCTCCCAAACTTAGCAAACTTTTTAAATATTGATGAGTTGGGGTCAACTTCTGAATCACCATAAATTCATGTAGGGGCTCAAATACAGTTTCTTATAGACTCAGAGAAAACACACTGATGGAAAAGACCTTAGGCAACTTTTGATGTACAATCTAGGACCTTTTTAAAAAACATTTCTTCAATACAGATTATAGAAAACCCATGGTTTTCTGTTTTTTGTGTATCGCTTGAGAAATCGCAAAGAAATCTTTCGCAATTGTTTCCCCCTTCAACTGGATGCAATTCACTCTTCCTCTGAGCTGAGAACTTCATTTGAACTTCTTGGATCTTGCCCTGTAATTGTGTACTTGTGTTGTACCCTTTGTTTGGCGTCCTCATCTGGGCATCCCCAGGGTACGTTGCTCGATAATGCAAATTTATTTAATTGAATTAAGTTAGGAGAGTTTCCAGGCTGCCTGAACTGCCTCTGATTTGCAATTAGAGCACAGTGGTGTTC